GATCCTCCCGGAGTTCCTTAAGGCTCTGGATGTTGTAGGGTTGTGTTGGCTCACGCGACTCTGTAATATCGCATGGACATCAGGGGCAGTTCCCCTGGATTGGCAGGCTGAGGTGGTGGTCCCCCTGTTCAAAAAGGGGGACCAGAGGGTGTGCTCCAATTACAGAGGGGTCACACTCTTAAGCCTCCCTGGTAAGGTCTATTCAGGGATGCTGGAGAGGAGGGTCCATCGGATAGTCGAACCTCGGATTCAGGAAGAGCAGTGTGGTTTTCGTCCTGGTCCTGGAACATTGGACCAGCTCTACACCCTCAGCAGGGTCCTGGAGGGTGCATGGGAGTTCGCCCAACCAGTCTTTTGTGTTTTGTGGACTTGGAGAAGGCGTTCGACCGTGTCCCCAGAGGGGCTTTGTGGGGGGTTCTCCGGGAGTATGGGGTACCGGGCCCTTTGATATGGGCTGTCAGGTCCCTGTACGACCGGTGTCAGAGTCTGGTCCGCATTGCCGGCAGTAAGTCGGGCTCATTTCCGGTGAGAGTTGGACTCCGCCAAGGCTGCCCTTTGTCACCGATTCTGTTCACTACTTTTATGGACAGAATTTCTAGGCACAGCCGAGGTGTTGAGGGGATCCGTTTTGGTGGCCTTAGGATCGCATCTCTGCTTTTTGCGGATGATGTGGTTCTATTGGCTTCATCGGAACGTGATCTGCGGCTCTCACTGGAGCGGTTCGCGGCCGAGTGTGAAGCGGCTGGGATGAGGCTCAGTGCCTCCAAATCCGAGGCCATGGTCTTGAGCCGGAAAAGGGTAGAGTGTCTTCTCTGGGTCAGGGGGGTCGTCCTGCCTCAAGTGGAGGAGTTTAAGTATCTGGGGATCTTGTTCACGAATGAGGGAAGAAGGGAGCGGGAGATCGACAGGCGGATTGGCGCAGCGTCTGCCGTGAAGCGGGCGCTGTACCGGTCCGTCGTGGTGAAGAGAGAGCTGAGTCAAAAAGCGAAGCTCTCGATTTACCGGTCGATCTACGTTCCCACCCTCATCTATGGTCATGAGCTTTGGGTCATGATCAAAAGAACGAGGTCCCGGATACAAGCGGCCGAAATGGGTTTTCTCCGTAGGGTGTCTGGGCTCTCCCTTAGAGATAGGGTGAGAAGCTCGGTCATCCGGGAGGGACTCAGAGTAGAGCCGCTGCTCCTCCACGTCGAGAGGAGCCAGTTGAGGTGGCTCGGGCATCTGGTCAGGATGCCTCCTGGACGCCTCCCTGGTGAGGTGTTCCAGGCACGTCCCACCGGGAGGAGGCCCCGAGGAAGACCCAGGACACGCTGGAGGGATTATGTCTCTCAGCTGGCCTGGGAACGCCTTGGGGTTCCCCTGGAGGAGCTGGAAGAAGTGGCTGGGGAAAGGGAAGTCTGGGCCTCCCTTAAGCTGCTACCCCCCCGTGACCCGACGCCGGATAAGTGGAAGAAAATGGATGGATGTATGACACCTGGAAGACGTGACAGAATCTGAACTACGGCTACAAATTTAAGAGATGGAGTTACCGTTAATAGCAATATGTAAAACAGAGGCGATGAAAGAAATTTACAGACTAATTTATTTATCTGCATACAAAATATTAGTAAGTGAGGTAGAGCTTTTTATTTTTTCAATTTAACACCTTAAAACATTTACTAGTTATTTAGGAACCCAATGCAATAACCAAAATGTATTCCTTCCCCTCAGATAATGTCCTTCTGCAATTTGAAAGAATCTTAAAGATTCTCTGTGCTAACCAGCTAACTGTCACATGATCAGAGAAGTGTCATTTGATTGGCTGAAAGCCACCGTATTTGTTCTTGTGTTCACTCATTTGGCAAAGGGTCACCAGATAGCCACATTTGCAGACAATTTTTTGCAGCAAATCTTTGTAGATAAAATCTGCAGGAGAATTTTTTGCAGGTAAAATTTTGAAGTTGAATTTCTGTAGATGAATATTTGGTGTGGTTTTTAAAGTAAAAAAGAAAAAAAAATAATTCCATGAATTAATAAGTGTAAAAATGTTTTCACATGTCTGTCTTAAGAGTCAATGAGACAACAGTTTGACAAGTTTAGTTTGTAGAAGATTATGGATCGTTGTTGCTGTGTCACATAAAAAACTGAAACCTTTTTGAATAAATGACTGAGATCTTCTGAGAAATCACCTGGTCTACTAAAGGGAAATAAGGAAAACACTATAAGAACCTTGAACTCTTTATCAGAACTGTAACGATTCTCTCTCTGCTGCAGCACATTTTCTCCTCAGGTTGATTCTTTACCTCCTTTTATCAATAGGAAAGCAGCTGCAGCAAATGATTGAAAAACAAATGCAGCTACCTAAGGAGCGATTTGAAAAATCATTGGAAACTAAAGACTAATTTTAGTAGGTTTAAGTTCTTTAGTTATATATTAGGTGAAAGAGTTCTCCCTCGTCCTCTCTCTCTGTATTTTGCAGAATATTTTCTGTCACTGTCATGGGGCGTGGATCTTCGAAACCATGTAAGTTACATTTTGATTTGGTTGAGACATATACAGTGATTATTTCACTGATTCATTTCAGGTTTTTGCATATATTGCAGATTTTCAGCAAATTTGATTTTACCCTTCAAATTAAATTTATCTTGAACTTTTTTTTAAGCAGAAAGTGAAATAAAGTTACATGTTAATCATTGAGAATAAACACTGGAACATAGTTGTTAGAGAATGTCTGAAAAGCTTTACAATGGAAACTGTATTGGAATTATAACTATTAAAATTATGACTCCGAATATTTTCTCTGTCTTGTTTTGCTTAGCTCCTCCTCCAAGTAAGTATTATTTTTTAAAATCTTCATTTTAATGTTTTCCTTTACTCACTTTAGAGTAAAATTGAATCTATTCACCACCAATGCCTCAGTGTACTACAAAAACAACCATTATGTTTATTATCCCCTAACTTTAATATAAACATCAACTACATTTTTAGACATTTGTTGACCTAAGTAATGTGTCTCTTTGCTCCGTTCAGCTCCACCTCCACCTCCATCTCCACGTGAGTACAACTTATTATTCATGCTGACACAGCAGAAAGTGTTTTTCTTGCCACAATGAAGGACTGAAATGTTTTATCTACTGATCTCTTGACTCATGTTACTAATATATTTGACATCATTTAGAAAAGCTAATTCTTCCATCTACTTCAACACACTGTTCTGGTTTTAAAAGTGTTGTGTGAATTCTCCTTCACAGTTTTAAGAACTCCATGGAGGGAGATAACTTGGGGGTGAGTAAATGTGCCTTGTTAAAATCTGTATGTTTAAAGTGATTTTTTGTTTTTTTGTTCTGCATCATCAGCCATCACAAGTAGTTCTCAGAATTAACAGTGTCCTTTGGACTTTTTATTTAATCAAAGCTCCCAGAAATCACACAATGACACACTTCAGGTTCAGTCGATTCCTGATTGGCTAATTGGGAGGACTGGGACAATTCCCAGTGGGCTGGTCTGACATTTGTGCTGCCAGGATTGGTTTTCTTTCCATATATCTTTCTTTTTGTCCCAGGCCCATGTGCTGCTTCAGTTCAAGTTATGAATGGAAGGCCGTTTCAACGTAAAACCAGATTGATCTGTCTGTGATTACATTCGCAGGAAGTAAATAGATCCTGGTGCACAAAATAACTGGATTGTCAAAATAAAACAGAAACTAGTGAACTAAGATTTTAAACAATGAATTAAAACTTAAAGAACAGAACAAAATCTAAAACCCTGAGGGTCATGACAGTATTGTGTATCTGTGCTTTCTGTCATCAGTTTTTTCTCAGCAATATGTTCAGATGTAAAGATGGTGTCTTGGTAAAGCAAACTGTACAATTAACTTTAACTTTAATTGATACTTAAATCACATAATAAAGACTTAGCTTTCTTGGTAGTAAGCCCTGTCTCTTCACTGGCTTTTAAGAAGCCAGTAAAGTGGCTTCTTAAAAGAAACCACTTGACAACACTGAAAACTGAATCTTATTGTAAACTAACAGAACTTATGTAGCGATTTTCACATCATATTGATCACACAAAGTGAATTGCAGGTCATATTCTCTGATTCTCACTATTAAAAGTTCACACATATACTGTACATCGATCTCAGTACCAGGAGGCTGGTTGGGGTTCAGGGTTTTGCCAAAGACACTTTGACTGGAGCCTAGTCACCTCTATTTATCATGGTTAAAATTATTTTCTTAATTAATAATCTTAATTTTTCCATTTTAACAGCGGTACCAGGCAAGCTCTTAAATCCTTGAAGGAGTTTCAGCCTCAAAATGAGGAGGCAACTCACATCAGAGTCCTGCTGTACGGCCCAGTCGGTGCTGGGAAGTCCAGCTTCATCAACTCCGTCAACAGCGTCCTGCAGGGCAGAATGACCAATGAAGCTCTGGCCAGTGCCACAACCTCTGATCAAAGTTTCACCAAGATTGTGAATATAATTTCTTGTTTGGCTTAAAAGGCCTATTGATATTTTTAGGCTTTACAGTTTATGAATTCAGTCTCTTTAATCGGCCCTTCACAATTGCATGAATACTCCCTGAAACATGACAGAAAATAAGCAATATTATCTGACACTCAGTGGTTACAGATTTATTTGGAGCTAATCCATCAAGATTACAGCAACACCTTATTCAGACGTTTTCTTAGCAAATCAAAATTAGATTGAAAATTATAAACTTAATTTGAAGCGTGTTTGTAGTGCTCCAGTTTGCCTGCTGTTTACATAAAACACTTTTTTCTCTTTCAGTATCAAACCTATAAAGTCAAGAAAGAAGGCAGGGGGAACTTTTATCCATTTGTGTTCAATGACATCATGGGTCTGGAGGACGGAGATGGAAGAGGAGTCAGAACAGATGACATTAAAAACGCCTTGAAGGGTCACGTGAAGGATGGATATAAGGTATAAGTATATACTTACTCCTTCTACATTTTTCCTTCTTGTAAAACTATTATGATTTGCTGTAGGAGATTAGAAAAATATATTTTTTCTGTGATTAATATGTTGTCCTCAATGTATCATATTTTTTCTGCAGTTCAATCCTTCATGTTCCATTTCTGCTGGTGATTCTGGTTACAACTCTTTCCCGTCCGTCAGTGACAGAGTTCATGTTCTGGTCTGTATTCATGATGCTAATAAATCAGAGATTAAGTCCTCCGTTTTACAGAAAATGAGGGAAATTAGAGAAGCAGCGAGTGATCTGGGTAAGAAACAAAAAAAAATGCATTTACAAAAGTAACACACAGTTGAGAAACCTGTTTGTTTGTTTTTTTGTGTGCTGTCATAAAAGTTTCCGAGAAACATTCCTCTGAATTAACTATTTAAATATATTATTTTCTCATGAAATGTTAAGCTATGAGATATAACTATCCACAGGAATCCCTCAGCTGGCGATTCTCACTCACGTTGATGCAGCCTGTGGTGAAACAGAAGGAGATCTGAGAAACGTCTACAAGAGCAAACATTTAAAGAAAAAGGTGAGTCTTAGTAAGATTCAGTCTAAACAGGAGAAAAAGAAGCTGAAAATATTGGCCACAAAGTGAAATTATTATTACTTTTTTATCTATACAGATGGGTGACTTCAGCTCCAGTCTGGGGATCCCAATGAACTGCATCCTCCCAGTGAAGAACTACAGTAATGAAATTCAGCTGGATTCAGACGTCGACGCTCTGATTCTGAGTGCTCTGAAAATGATGGTTGACTTTGGAGACGACTACGCTGACAAACTGTGAAGCCACAGAACAGTTTGTGTCATTACTATGAATGTAAATTACTGCAATAATTTTGGTTATTTGTATCAGTAGACGGTTATTGAGGACAGTCTGCAAGGAGGCCATTAGCTCTTGATGCATTCATAAGGGATTTGATTTCTGACCTTGGGATTCCACATTTTTCCTGATTTTCTCTCTGCCTGTTTCTGATCTGTAAGATACAATAAGTGGGCTTTACTTTGAAAAGTTATGCAAATTTGTTGCCTCAAAAAAAAAGAAAAAAAGAAAAACAAAATCTAGTTTTTAAAACTTAATATTAGTAACTGTAAATTTACACAACTCAACTAACTTGATGATTTACATTAACTTGTTTAATTTTAGTGAGTGTAACTTAAGTTAATTTAATAAATTGAGTATGTTACTTAAATGACACCCTTTTTTTAAATAAGAAACTACTCATGTAATAAGAAAATTTCTTGATTGAAACAGTTCCTGGCTCCTGGTTTTTCATTATAACATTGAAAGCAGTGATCGTTTTCTCACATTTTTCAGTAAAACAAACAATCATATGCCAGGTTATGCCCTCAAGCAGAACATTGTGGTCATGAAAATGAACATAAAACTCACTCATAGTGCAGTTTTATTTGTGCAAGTGTAAATGCCAAAAGTAAATGCCAAAAAAAAAAAAAGATATTAAAAGCTGCACTCCTCTGAAAACAGCTTCATGTTGTCATGACACGTTCAGTGACGGAGGAGGCAAATGAATTTGGAGATTTAATGAACGATGCTGGAGAACAATTTTCAAAATCAAAGCCAAGGCAAAAACACGGGGTGGAACAAGAACGTGATGGAAGTAGATTAAAGGATCCGGCAAGTAGTGACTGAACGAAAGACCTGGTTTGGTTGATGCTGAATCTGCTGAATGAAAGTCTAGGTCTTTCATTATTTTTGTAACAATAAATCAAAATGATTTTCTAGCCTGTGAACTTGTTTACTGACAATGGCAATAAAAGTGATTCTGATTCTGAATAATAATAATGAAACTAGAATCAAAGCAACTCAACAACCTGGGATCCTAATTCAGTCTTGATTAACTGATTTAAGTATTGCAAACCTAAAATAAGTTGTACATAAACTAAATAGTAAATACATATTGACATTAGAAGTTAAATGCAAATAATCTATTTGGCCAAGATTTTTCCTTGGTAAAGAGCATTCTTTGTCAGGGTCTGTGTTTTTTCTGTTTTGTTTTTTGTTTCTTTTTCTTTCGTTGGTTTAAGTTTATTTTCCTGGAGCACCCGCATTTTCCCATGGCATCCACCAGATGCCGCCAGGTTACAGAACCCCTGGAGAGGTGCTGTGTCGACCCCGTTGATGCACCTGCAGCTTGTTTGGAGGGCGCGGTCTGGAGGTAGATAAGAAGCGGCTGAACAACTTCTCATCGCCTGAGTGTTTGCTTACATTGGTAACATTCGTTCCAGAGAAAGGCCCTCTGTGATTTACCTCGAGTTAGTGATGGGCAAATGAAGCCTCCTGAAGCAATGAACCTTTCCAGCCCTTTGCTTTGCAAAAAGGTTCGTTACTCGATGCTTCATTAATTGCTCTATAGTGACATCTGCTGGTGAAACTGTAACAGTCTTGTCACTCAGTTGGATCATACTTTCAAAAATTACTAAATGCAATATTGTCAAAGTTTTCATCAAACTCATGTTTAGTAACAGGAGAATAAATGAAACCATATTTAATTGTCATGTTTTAATTATTACAATTATTTGTAACCAATCTAATCCTGGTTTATGTTGAACGTTAGTGGTTGTGTTGGGTTTTCTTTTGTCATAGATGGATTTGACAATAAAGACAATTGATGTTTTAATGTCTTGAGAGTGCAGTGTCTGTTGGGGCGTTCACTTTTTCTTGGATTTCTAATTGGCTCTGATCTCGTATATTTGGCTACATGTTGAATTTTAGTTCTGCAACAAGTTTAAATCTGTTTCTGCTGTGCAAGACTGATATATCTTTGCTAATCAGACTACAAATAATAGTGGAACTTTGCAGAAGGTGAGAAATTGGGAGGTGAGGGTTAATTATTGTTATCTAAGAAGAATTTTATTGTGAACAATAATCTCAAAGTATTCTCAGATGTCAGATTTTCCTCTTGCTGGCTCCATTTCAGTCAATCAAGTTTCAGCACGTTTCAGCAACAATGCAGTTCAAAGAGATTTACATCATAAAATCACAAAAATATAGTTATTAAAAAAACAAAACATACTCTACAATTGAGAAAACCAGTAACAAACATTTTGATGAGTGCCATTAATACACATCGAATTTGTTTGTCAATGTTCATTTTATTTGGCCACTGAAGACAAATCCTCCTCTGATGTGACCAAATGGACAACAACCCATGACACAGCAAGGCTCATCGCGCTTTTATTTTGAAAACCGACACGCAAAATGAAGCAGTCACGTGACCCATGCAATGTGAGGCCTCGTTTGTTGCCAGTCACGTGGTTTTCAGCAAGACAACACAAGCCTCGAAGCGGGGCTTCATCGGCCACGCCCCCTTTTTACTCGGTACAAGCCTCGAAGCCTGGATTCAGATGGCCCATCACTACCTCGAGCTAACCTCTTGTCGTTTTCCTCGCCAGGTGAACCCGCTGTCTCCTCGTTGTTCCCGAGTGTGCCGTCTGCCCGGGATTCTGAGTGAGATGATGTTCCCCGCTGTTTGTAAGTTGCCTCCCTCGTGTGTCTCCCCACGATGCTGTTGGTTGTACCAGCTGGACGCCATTCCCCGTGTGCTCGCCTTCCCCCTGTCGTCGGTCTGACTCCAGTGGACTCCCCTTTGTGACGCCACAGGATAAACCTGCCGTGTCCGAACCCATCTGGAGATTCGTTACAGCTGGACCCAGTTGGACTCCGCTCGTTCCGCCATATACAAACTGTAATGAAGGTCTTCATTACTTGGCGGCACAACACTTAAAATGTGTTAAATGATAAAAGAAATGCATGATGAAGGAAATGAAACAGATACAAACAGATTGAAATGTTTGTTTATTGTGTGTTTTCAGTGGCATCTCAGCTGGAACTGATCATGTCCTGTTAAAATACAACAAAGGAATAAAATAGGTATTGATTGTTAAAATGTTTGAAGGCTTTGTATGGGTGTGGCTTACCTCTCTCTTCCTCTGCAGGGTGTTCAGGCTAAAAGATTCCCCGGGGGCCTGAGCACCTTTTAAAGGTTCCGGAAGAGACCAAAGCAGATGGAAGAGGGGGAGCAGTAGAGCTATACATTTTATATATTTAATGTTGGATTTGTATTTATATGAATAAAAAAGGTCTTTTAGAGATGCTTAGAATGACTAGAATTTGATAATATATATTATTATGAGGATTTAGTTAGTTTGTCAAACCTTGTTTGTGTGTATGTATTTTGTTTTACCCTGTTTGTAAGTGGGTTTATGAATTGGAACAGTCTGCAACTATAAAAGGCTGCATGTTGGCCATATTGAGGTGTGTTGCTGCTGAGACCCTAAGACACTGTAAGCAGGGTTGTTTGTTGTTAAATGTTGGTGAATAAACACCCAGTGGGGTTGCACAGTTTCTCTGCCTCAAGTCTCCTACTTCCTCCAGCCGCTAAGGGCCATCCTAACACAAACCTTTCCACCCTCCAACGAAACCCTCTAATCCAGCGCTCTGTCAGCAACCACATTCTTCCACACCAAGTAAGATAAGACCCTGTCCGTTCATTCCTGGAATAATCTCTCAACCACTCTTTCTAACCCGTTGTCTCTCGTTGACAGTAAGACGATCTGGTCATCTGTTCCAGAACTCATTCCCATCCCCCTTTTCCCTGGATTCAATAAACCTATTATTGTTCATTTACTTGCTTCTCCTGATTGTGTTCTCGGATGTGGGTTAAAAGACTTGAAACCAACATGACATTCTTAAGCTGGTCTGAAGTGTTACTCTCAGCAATATTCCTTTTTCTGCTCATCACCAACAACCGCATTACATTTGTTAACTTGCATAAAGAAACACTGTTATCACAGCATATTTTATTTTCCAACACTGAAATCAGTTGTATCCATGTTCAAAACTCGGTTTGCGGGTTTGCTTGAGCAAAACCGGAGAAACGTTGGGACGCTTCCTGAAAGCTAACCATTTAAAATCCTCACCTGTTTCAAATACTTCACTTTCTTGCATAATCTCAAATTAAATAGATTGTTATCAAACATTTTTCATCCAAAAGTTCACGCCACTTGTTTAAGATGAGTACAATTAACACATTGAGAATTAAGTTATGTTCACTTGAAGTCTTTTATTAAACAGAATGGCGACTACAGTATTTTCCGCACTATAAGGTGCACCGGATTATTAGGCACACCTTCAATGAAAGGCCTATTTTAAAACCTTTTTTCATATATAAGGCGCACCTTCAATGAATGGCCTATTTTAAAACTTTTTTCATATATAAGGCGCACCTTCAATGAATGG